ATAGCACACAAATAAATTAGTGTACTGGAATAGCAGAATTCAAGTTGTGTGGAAGGGCGGCGATTTAATGTCAGTTTTCTGGCAGAAGTGTGACCACTTTACCCCCTTTTTCTTAGATTCAGTATTCAAACTTCAAAATCTCATCAGATATGCCATGCACCACCATACCGTAATCTATTTTAGAATCCTGACGAACAATAAAAAAATCTAACTTAAATTTTCTATGAAACTAAGAGGAAGAATTTCTCATTCATCTATCGATAAAAATATAAATATATATAATGAGCAAAATAAATTAGATGAGAATTAGGCTCTTATGTCGGAGTTAAATTTTTTATTGATATATCTAAAATATGAAAAAACAAATGCATAATATATATAAAATATTATAATTTTTCTTCAAAAACAGATTCGAAAAACCTCGGCTCCACGCATGTTAGTCTGGTCTACTTTTTGATTGTTCCAAGGCAGGATCAGTAGCAACTAGCAACCAATTTTTCAAGCATCCTTTTTCTTCCATAAATCTGATTCTACTCCAAATTGCACTCTTTTGAAATTCGATCCACTAAACCTAATAATTAGGGATATCATTACTTTCCTAATAATTACTCCAACTTTTATTTTATTATATGTTATGAAGGTACGTTGTAACCTGTTTTTTTTTTTTTTTATCAAAGTCGCTCATTTTGTTTAAGTATTGCGCCAAAAAAACGTTTTTTTTTAAAAATTATACTTGAGACAAATTTGAGTATGTTCTTGGTTATTAACAATTGTTTAGTGACTTTATATTTTTATAATGTGCCTTTTTTTAAAAAAAAAAATAATAAGGCCCTTAGGCCAATTTTATTACTCAAAATAAATATTTTTATAATGTACAGATACTTATTCTGACTTTTTCTTTTGGCACAATGACAGTTGTGTAGTACAACTAATGATTCTTGTTCAATGATATATTAGAGAATAATTCGTTCCACAATGTCTTAATTTAAAAATCCAATTATCCTCTCCATACTTTATAGCTAAAAATATCAAGTTCAGTGCATAAAATGTCAATACAGAAATAAAGACTAGTAATATTTGGATTTTGAATCTGACCTTTTCAAAAATTAATAATCTATAAATTTCATAATTTCATGTTCTCGTTGGATCGAAATTGACGTGGCAACTTTCCACATGACTTAAGACTTGTTACCATTGATTCTTGGTTAATGAATAATTATAGATTAATATAAACTTGATCAATTCAATTATCTTCTAGAAGTATTGAGTTGCATGCATAAAATGTCACCATAACAGTGGCCATTTGGGCGGTTATTTTGTCTACATATTGTTTTAGTTATTAATTTCTTTTCAAATATTTGTCTAAAAGATTTCCAAAATACACATAAGTTATAAATTATTGTAAAAGACAAATCCCTAGGTATCAAACCTCAAAATTTCTATCAAAAACTAATTTTCTTAGTTATATTTACTAGTTAGTAGGAGTACTATTTTAGAAGTTGTTAACGGAAGAGGAAAAAAAATATGTTAATACCTTTCACAAGTTGCGTTGCCTAAAGCGGAGGTTAGTAGGTAGACAGGGCAGGACCAAAAAGGGGCTCATCGGGTCCCCTCTCAACTTTATTATATTTCTATTTATATTAGATTTATATTTTAATATTAAAAAATTATTATATGAAAAGATAAAATGTTTTCTTACGAGACTAATGTTGTACACAATAGAATTCAAATCATTTATCTCTTTATCAATCCTGATTAGTGATCGCACGCTCAACCTGTTTCATCTTTTTGATTTATTATTTTTAAAACAATAAATTACTAGTACTATCTCTAAAATCAAAGCAAATATAAAAAGAACATTTTTTTAAAAAAATAGTCAAATATCTTCTTAATTTATTATCGAATTTTTAACTATACTTATTCTTCATAAAGTTCTATCACCTTCTTCTTAAACTATTTTAAAACAGAATAATTACATCCTTAGATGCTGACATGGCATAGAGAGTGTTCTCACTCTTCCGGAGGCATGTGAAAGTCAGCAGAATAAATAAATAATATTTTTAAATTTAACTTTTTATTACATATATAATTTCTTTTTACTTTTCTTTTTAAATTTTTTGTTTCTTTTTCTTTTTTACCCTCTCTTTCACATTACTCAACATTCATTCCACCACCATCTCCTTCACCTTGAACCACCATAATTGCTCTAACCACATTTTTTGTCCATCTTTTAACATTTTTTAGAATTTGCTTCACCAGTTTCTACAAATTAAACGCTGCAAATCATCAAAAATAAAAGCGAAAAAAATAGAATTATTAAACACCTTCCATCATAAAAATCATTCTACTATTAGATTTTTAAAAATTATTGGAGAAACCAAGTCAATTAAAATAATTATGACTATATAATAGATTTTCCGATCATGAATTCATAAACCAACCAAACATGAGTTTTGGGTATGTAATTTGGGTCATCATCCAACTTTTTTACATTTTTATCAATCTCAAGTTATTTCAAAATATCAACACTAATAATCTACCTTGTAATCGATTTTGGATTAATAACAAACATCAACCATCAGATCTTATATTTAGTCTCTATTGTTATCTGGTTAAGACCCAAGAATTTAAATTTTGCAAAATTGTAGTAAAATATCACAAATTTAGTGTCATGAAGACAAATAAATAACATAATAAAAATTTATAAAAAAAAAAGAAAAGAGATGAATTATCAAGCTTGTCAAGGTGCCTGAAGGATACTATGAAATGATGAGAAAATGATAATAAAAATAACTTTGATTTTTTTCATGGGTGAGTGATTTGAAATTAGAAGGGAATGAAAAAAAAAGAAGAAGTAGAAGCAGGAGGAAAAAAAAAGTATACATATTTTTGTAAGAGTTTAACTACTATCCACCG